CCCCCCCCCCCCCCCCCCCCCCTACCTCGCAGCCAAGAAGCACTGGACCTCCGTCAGCCCGACGATCCCCCCCTCCGTGCCAGCGCGCGAGATCTCCTTCGCCAGGGGCGCCAACACCACCTCGGGGTTACCCCCCGCCGCTCCCGCGGTGCCCCCTCCCTCCCTCGCCAGGGTGGCCGCAGCAGCAGCGCTGCCGCCGCCGCCGGAGGCCGATACGTCGATCCGCTCTCCCCTGATCTCCACGATGTCCCTGCCCATGTCCTTCCAGAGCTGGGCCCACTCCTGGTTTAGGCCCTTGCTCGTGGCTCTTCTTGTCGATGCTTTCGCGCCGTCACCGCTGCTTGCACCTCGCCAAGGAGGCTTTTTTTTTTGTATTGTGTGCCATGGGGGGGATGGATGGAAGGGGGCTGAGGGACGGCAAAGGGTACGGAGCATGTACGTTACACCCACGGATCGTGTAACGTGTTGTGTGTCGTAGTGATAAATTCTTCCTTACTCTTTAATACAACACATTCATCTCTTCCACGGATGTAAGTGTGGGATAGGCTATAATATTACTATTTTCTTCGGGAGGCCGCCCCCGTAACCGCTCGACGACTACCTCGTCCCCCCCCATAATACCGATGCCGCTTCTGCTCCACGGGGTCCCCCGGGGAAGACACACACCTCGTGAGCCTCCCGCGCCTGCACCATGTCGCCCAGGGTCCGTTTCACCCACGCCACGGGAACCGTTAGGCCTCCCTGCAGGGCTTCGACCAAGACGTGAGCGTAGTCCTGTGTGTGTGGTGCGTGGGGAAACGGACGGGATTTGCATGGAGATATGGGGTGTGCGGAATTTCTGTGTGAGTTGCCAGCAAACGGACGCGATTTGCATAGAGATAAGGGGGTGTAAGGACCATGTATGATTTGCCAGCACTTTGAGTCTCCGGGGCTGCGATCCGGACGTAGGTCCTGAGTAGTGCGGCGGGAAAGGGACTCAATTTACGGATTGCTTCGCGACCATTGCACTAGTAGTAACGGCAGCAGCATACTACTAGTAGTAGTAGTCACAGTAGTGCTATACCAGTAGTAGAGTAGCATTAACAGCAACAGTGGTGGTAGTGGAGCGGTGGTAGGAGCAGTTGGCGGAGGAGGAGGAGGAGGAGGAGGAGGAGGAGGAGGAGGAGCGGCAGGAGGACAGAAACGATGGCGGCAGTCTGTGACATAATCCATCGCATCTTCCGCCCAAGAGAAAATTGCCTTTCCCCTCACCTGCGTCCCGGTGGCCTCCGCCAGGCGGTGGCTAGCGTCCAGGTACCGCCACGTGGCCGGCGCGAACTCAGAGCCTACTTCCGCGAGGTTCATGTTAGACTCCGCCAGGTCTTCCTTCTTTATGCGTCGTTCCACCCATCTGCCACACCAAAGGCCAGTAGCGACGGAGGGTGGGAAAAATATCTATACAGAAGCGAAAGAAATGCGTTTGAGGGATGAGGGCTCTTTTTTTTTGCTACGCGAGTTAAAACCCTCAACATTCATCGATCACCAACAACAACAACAACAACAACAACAACAACAACAACAACAACGACAACAACAACAACAACAACAGCAGCAACAGCAGTAGCAACAACAACAACAACAACAACAGACAACGTTGCGCCTCACTTACCCCTCCCAGCTCCACGCAGCCAGGTCGAGATCGCCGCCTAGCTCAACCGGCAGGCACGCCGCCACCTCCTCCCCTACCTCGTGCCGGAGCCAGTCTCTAGAAACCGCCCCCGACACCGCCAGGAAAGACTTGGAGGCAGCGGAGGACGCCCTCCTGCGTAGACGCAGAGAGACACGGCAAGATGCCCCGGCATGGTGCATGTTGGTTACACGATAATTGTGGTGGCACTCCAGCCCGATGTGCGTCGGCTAGATTCCCAGCCGTTTATTTGTAGTCTATCCGAGTCAACGGATGGAACAACATAGAAAAACTCGAAGAAAAACCACGCATCTGTGCGACAGCCTCTGCGTGCCGTCCTGCCTCCCCCCGATCTTGCCACACGCCCCCTCTGCCCCCCTTGATCCATTTTGATAGGATAGAGAGGATAGGTCAAAACATTATTGAGCTCAAACACCATTGAGGCACCTTCGGCAAAGTAGGAACAATTGACCATCGGTTCTGTGGAAACAACAATGCTTCGTCCTCTGGGGGGCGTTTGGTCCTAAAACTCATGGCACGAAAAACATTAGTTTGTCCCGTTCTCAACATACCGTAAGATTGCGGGTCAGCGCACAGGGGTGCGATCGATTTTTAAAGCGTAATTTATCCGCAACCAGGAGGGTGCCAACGCCAACTGATGCTTCTCAGGAAAGGTCTCGGTAAGATATTTCCAACTCCGCCCTTTTCGACAGTGGTAGCCTTCTGGTTGCGGAGAGAATTACGCTTTGAAAATCGTTCGCACCTCTGTGCGCTGACTCGCGACCTTACGGTATGCCGCACATCCACGCCCCCCGCCCCCCGCTCACCGCACACCTGGGAGGAGAAATGCTGCCACGCCGGGCCTTGACCTTTCCACCCATCAGCCCGTTACCGCGCCCACCGCCTCCGCCGCCCGCAACACTGCTGTCTGTGGGGCCCCATTGAGAAGATAGTGCGCCGCTGAGGGAGACTCTCCTAGGAAGGAGGAGCGCTCTGAGCACGGGACCAGCGTTCAATACCAGCACCTTGTTTTGTTTGTTGTCCGGGTTTTGTGGGGTTTATTGAGGGCGAAATGCGGTGCTAGGAAGCATCGCAAAAAAACGGTTACAAATCGTGTGCTTGCGTGTGTGGTGGGGTCGGGGGTAGTCGAAACAAAATACTTCGCAAATCATGTGTGTGTGATGGGGGGGGTGTGGGGGGGGGGGGGGNATGACTGGCATATTTTCAAGGCACAATAGACGTTTCTGTGCACAAGTCTTCGTTTGCCCAAGAACCAACATGGCGAGCAGCGGTAGTCTTACGCGACCAGTACGCACTCGTTGAGATCTGTTATCTTACCCTGTCAACACCCGCAGGCCTTTCTCTCCAACCGTCAACATGCCGAGTCAGTCTCCTGGATACAATGGATACACACGCTCTCCTTGCTTCATTCCCCACCACCTTCAGAAGATGCCACCACCTACAGCCTCTTTCATCGCCCGAGCCTCGTCTACATTCCTCGTCTTTATTCCTCGGTGAGGTAACCCAACGTCAACTGCTGTGTAGGTTTACGTTAAGTGTAGCATTCTTAGCTAAGAACTTGTTCTTTCAGTCAAGCCTTGTAGGGGCCTACTTCTATTGTAACTTGTTTTTCTTCGCTCCCAGGTTCTTAAGCGGTGGCGCGGTCTGTGCGCCCAGAATATTTCATGCCCCGTCCCACCACACCTTTCATGCCCCGTCCCACCCTCACCTTTCGAATCCTCACAGGACGCATGCTGAGCGCGGGGTCGCACAGCGGAAGCCGCGGCTGCCCCCCCCCCCCCCCCCCCCCCCCCCCCCCCCCCCCCCCCCCCCCCCCCCCCCC